TAAATAAATAAATAAATAAAAAAAACAAATGAAAATAAAATAAAATAGAATAAAATAAAATAAGTGAGCTGTACACCTGAACACTACCTGTAGTAATTCAAAGAGCAGAACAACTGTTAGCAAATGAGCAGAATAGTGTAAATAGTCAGCTAAAAATAATGTATATGGCTGAACTAGCCAGAAAAATATGTTCTTGGGCCCCTATTGACCTCAACTATGATGGCTCCTGTAGACCTCAGCCCACGCTCCTGTGCTGAGTTACTATAACCCAATTTTTCTGCATCAAGTATGTTTAAGCAGTTTGATACATACCAACTTCTTTTAGGAATATGCACCAGGTGAGCATGACATAAAGTGAAATAATTAAGGTCTCAAAACTAGATTTTGATCTTTAAAACACAAGTGCCATAAGATTAGGAAATGACAACCCAGTTGCCAGGAAAAATGTTGGCATTGTACATTTCTGCAAGCTTAAATCAGTGTTTCCCAACTAGAGGGTCACATGTCTGTTCTAATTGAACTGCAAGTGACTTGCAGACGTGTCGAGTTTGTAAAAAAACACACTTTATTTTCAAGTACAGTGAGTATCTGGCACAGGGCTTTTATTTTTATGTGCACAGAGCTTTTATTTTTATGTGCTGTTTCCTGCTGTAGAGTGAGCGACTAATGGACAGCTGCGAATGGAGACAGCAAACTAGCTTGACTACATGTTGTAAAGCAAGTATGACACTGATATATTGCACTGTGTGGACCTTGAGCTAATGAAGAAGGAGAAACCTGGACCCCGTAGCCGGACCAGTTGGGAACCACTGTTTTAATTAACATGTAGTTAGGCTTCAGCACAAGACCGATTGGTTATAGTTGGGAAAAGATCATGTTTTGGCTTAAAATACTAGTTTTAGAGGCACAATACCGGCAGAAAAAGCGTCAATGTCTCTGTGCCACTATCCTCACTGGAAAACCAGTGACAGGTTGCTACAGAACACCTATGTTTGGTGCCTAAAAAGCTGCTAGAAGTGTAGCAATGACTCATTAAATCACAATTTTGTTGGTCTTCAACAGTGGTTTGCTGTGATCTGCAGCTTGGCAGGCTTCTCACGTGGTGACACGCCATCCTCGATTCACTCCACCTCCTGAAGACAAAGTTAGCTTACACGCTACATCAATTTCGAAATGTTGATATGATTTATATGAAACGTGCAAATATAATGTATTTGTTGTTTGCAGATGTGTACAATGCCAACATATTTTGCTGGTGACTGGGCTGGAATTGAACAATCCATCATTTGTAGTTAATAATGTACTTAGGTGGTGTAAATTATTTCTTAAAAACCCTGCTATTTATCAAATTACGTACAGCCAGCTGATATGGAGTGAACCTGGGCCCCCTTGGTAATTACCACTTTGCTTGATTCCAGCCTTGCAAGTGAATTATTACTTATTTAGCAAAAATGTTGTGTTATTTTTTTCAGAATGTTCTGCAAAATCTCTTGGAAAACAAAATTTTTCATCTATTTTCATCTATTTCTGAATCCTAACATCCCATTTTCCTCAATCAAGTAACAACAATCTGTTATTGTGGTGAGATCATTTCCTCTGCTTCAAATACAAATCAGCTTGTGCCATTTTCTTGATTCTCCTGTCATGAAGTTACAGCTGAAGACATTAATACTCCTTTCTAGAACATTCCCAAAACATGGGGTGATACAGGGAACTAGATTCATTATTTGGCAACACTGGCAGATTTTTTTTCTGCTGAAAGAAAAATAAATATTGAAGTCTGAACATGAGATTAAATGACATAGACAGATGATTTTTGCAGTAAAGGGACCAAACATGGTGCAGAGATAGGGTGACGGCTAAGAGTTTGGGCCTGTTTACAAGTGTGTGTGTGTGTGTGTGTGTGTGTGTGTGTGTGTGTGATCAGGCTCTATCCATGACGTTGTCCAGCCCCTGGCAGTGGAAGGGGTCTGAGGTCTGGGCGCCATGGAAACTGCCCATTGGGCCTCAGTGGGGAAGAACATCATGCACACACATGCTCTGTTTCTGTTGGACCGCCCTGCAGGAATTCACTTATTTGTGGAAATGTTAAGAATTCAAGCAATGAAGCTTAGAAAATTGAACGCTAACCAAAAACTAAACACTTCCTGAGTGGTGGTGGGGTCACCCTGGTGGCTCCGTACAATGCCGCTCTTCTTGATTCTGATTTATCTGCATTTTTGTGACATAAAAAGTCACAAAGGGAAAAAGATTTCAACCATAAAACATGGATTTTGAACCCCGAAAAATTACACTAGCAGGGAGCACAGGACAACGAGCAACAACCCTCTTCCTCCTTCAATCTCTCTCCCACATGGCTGGCTCTCACTTTCGCTCCGCAGACAATGGCCCCTCTGTCTCGCCTGTTTAACCACTTTCTCACCTATACTAAATGCTCACACACACTCCCTTGCAAACACATGCTGTGCACACACAAATGCATATATAGACACAAATCAATATTCATGCTTGCATCTACGGACACACAGACACACGCATGTGCATGTGTGCACTAATGCAGACACACACTCAGCGCCAAAGAAGGGAAAAAGCAGCTATATCGCTGGTGTGATACCATCCTGAGGATGCCAGGGCTGAGCTGAAGTGTGGCACATGCCTTTGATGTGAATCCAGAGCATGGGCATGTAACAAACGCAGATACCAAATTACACCCCGTCCTGCTTTGATCTCTAAAACCCCATGCCTGCTTCTACAGAGGTAATAAGATTGTGTGTGTGTGTGTGTGTGTGTGTGTGTTAGAGGGAGAGAGAGAGGGAAAGAGAGTGAGAGTGTGTGTGTTTATTTAGATGTGTGCGCACATCTTAGCCTGCATGATCAGTGTTAACACAAGAATGCGAAGATGCATAAGTGTGCATGCACGCATGTGTGTCTGCATGCATGACTGCAAATGTGCAATGACACGGGCAGTGTGTGTGTGTGTGTATGTGTGTGTGTGTGTGTGTGTGTGTGTGTGTGTGTTGCAGAGTGGCTCATGCAGCTTGTGTATTGGAGGGCAGGAGTTAGAGCGTCCACCCGTGGGGAACTAAACCCTGGCAGAGGCTTGTAGGCACCTGGTAAAAACATGTTCCTGGAGACCTTCTGCCGAGTTTGTCTTGTCGTCACGTCGTCCACAGTGGACTCCCCACTCTGCCTTCGCAGCCGACGATGATCAGGTTGCGTCTTGGATTTCCATCTTGAACCACCCTCTAATCTCATGACAGTTGAGCGTGAACGGAACCACTTCTCAGCCCTGTAAGGTCACCCCCTCGCAGGACTTAGCACAACACATGTTTATGTGTCCCTCATTACCTAAATGTGTCTGAGGTTTTGGAGTGGTGCACTAAGGGATGGATGATACACTCTGAATCAAATATTCAGGTGACGTTATGTTGTAATCATGGATGTACTGTGGTTACTATAAAGAGACAAGGGCACTCCCTTTTCAGACTGACCCTGGCTGTTTGGATATGTGATGATAGGTCAGTCAGGGATCATCAAAATAACTCCATAACTTTGGATGTCATCACTATGGCAAGACAAATTTGCTAACAGAAATCATTGCAACAGTGTTGCACAATAATAATAATAATAAACTTTATTTATATAGCACCTTTAATACAAGAAATGCTGCACAAAGTGCTTTACAATAAGGGCAGTATAAGCACTGAGTGCTTCATATGAAATTATGGACATAATGGACATAAAACAGAACTGATTCTTAAAATCATAGAGTTGTAAAACTATAAATTGTAAAATCAAGTAAGATTTTAAAAGAGTTGCAAAAGTGTAAAGAGGAAGAGTTTCAGACCTGTATCGGGAAAGTCAGAGGTAGTTAAAGTCTAAAGTGAATAGATAGGGTTTTTTTTTAAAGATATTAAGCGGAGCTAGCTTCCCTGATATCTACAGGTAGTGTGTTCCATAGCTTTGGGGCGTAACTAACAAAGGCTGCATCCCCGATCTTCTTCTGGCTGTTGCTGGAAGGATTTGTTTTATTTTGCTCAAGCATTTAAAACATTTGCATTTCTTTTTCATCACATCTCATCAAAAAAAGTCATCTCCCAGCATAAAAATGTAGTAAAAAAGAGCCCAGAAAAGGTATCACAAAGCAATAAATAGTATAAAAAATCATTACAAGTCAAAAAAGGTCACATAGAATATTAGAAAATGTTAAGTTGGCATTATAAAATCACTTTTAATATTACAAAATATCATTGGCACTGTAATGCAGCTCTTTATGTGAGTAAATCTAAAAAGACTTACATTGTCATTTAAGACTCGAGGACTGGAACAAAGTACAACAGAGGTAAAAATTATAATTTGAGTTAGAAATAAGACACCAAGCTGACATCAAAGAAGTCGCCTCAGGTCGCCAAAGGTTGCACTTGAACACACCACAATGACTGCAACCAGCAGTCAACTAGCATGTATATTCTGCACCTGCATGAGAGGAAATAACTGTCCATACCAGCAGATGGCGGTAGTCTGTATTTGTTTTTGTTTTTTTTCAAAAAGGAGAGCGGAAGACTGAAATGATGTATTCAAGACGCTAGTTAGCCAGTTAGCACATTAACAACACAACCTGATGCTGAAAGACCAAAAGGATATTTACCGTGGACTAGCGAACAATAACACAAACAATTACGAACTGTTTCTGCTCAAGAGCTCAAAGGCTAAAAAACACTTACCTCATATAACAAATTAGTTTCAATCTCATGCCCTCTTGACTTTAGCTGTTTGTTTATTTACCTCCCGTCTGTTTTATTCCATGCGTGCTGAGCTGATCACTCATCGATGAGTTTAGCCACCCCAACTTGGCCAAAAGAAAGCCAACCAGGGCCAACTTGTACCAAGGGTGCAGGACACACCGCCAAAACTAGGGATATCAGACACTTTCTGACGACCTGTCATTGACCAATGGCTGACCACCAGCTTGGTGTGCTAGGGCCCTAAGGTTTGAGCCCATCCAGGGACCTTTGTCACATTACCTCCTCATTTCCTCTCTATGTTCACTACAAAATAAAGGCAAAAAAATACCTGAAAAAACACCTGAAAGAAAAAAGAAACCTCCCAAGTTTCTCAAATGATCATCCGGGGATGAAAACTCTCAAATTAAACAGTTCTTATTAATAATAGGACACAGATCTCCTCCAACCAGAGGCTTTTGTCATGCAGTAGGAATCAAAATCCAAATGGATACTAGAACTAACCATTTCTGAAAGCCAAATAGATGTTTGTTGTTGTTGTGCTTTAAATAGTAAGCATCTCTCTCTTAGGTTGTTTGTGGCTTGTAAACAGGCTGATCTGGGGGGTAACAGAGGGGGTTGGTATTGCCTTGTTAAAGCCAAGAATTAAACATTAACATCTTTTTTTTCCTTTTTTTTTTTAGTGGAAAAACTATGACAATTTGTCTCCCTGCATCTCCTTGTTAAAGCAGAACGAGTCATCCAGTTCTTGTAAATACCGCAGCAGCAGCCAGGGTAATGGGGGTGATGATGAGTGCTGCGGGAGGTCGAGCGCACTGTATGGGTGTCTGGCGGCACTTAGTGGTGAACGTCTGCTACTGAGCGACTTCACTGAGGTTGCATTACACTGTCCGGTCACATGAGCAAAAGGCACTCATGGCATTTATGTCTGTCTGACAAATGTGGCACATTGCTCCAAATACCGATAATAATCCTGCTGCTATTCGGTGACATACATACACCATTATGTGGCTTGTTTACAAACACATGTAAACACTTTGGCCTGCCAAACTGGCCGAGTGATGTAATGGAAACTATGCATGCACTGGGGTCTGCTGTCTCAAAGGGGAATAGAGGGCAAAGTATAAAGCAGCAGTTGCATTACAATGTCAGCGTGTGTTTCCATCCAGGCATAACACTGAAAACAAAAATGGTGGTTTTATTTTACCACTGAGGCAGATGTCCCATCATGTTTGGCCGTAGCATCAAGATGATTCCTCTTTAGGAATGCAATACACCCAGACTAAGGAAAAGAGCACGTTGCTGTTTTAAAAGGTACCTGAGGTGCTTCATTTGGTTTTATAGCAGGCACTTTGGAAGTGTAAAAGAAATTAAAGGACTTTCATGTATTATTGGTCTGAACAGCTGATGAGTAGATAAAATGCCTCACAAAATAATGCACATCCTTGATTCCCACACGGTCTCACGACTGTGGCCGTTGCATTTGGGGTCGTTCAGCTCGTCAAACACTCCGGTGTCGATCATCTCCTTCTGCCACTGGATGGACACAGCGCCTGTGCTGAACTGCTTGAAGAATTTCTCATCCTTGGCGTCAAACTTAATATCCTCCTCCTCGGAGTTGTCCCTAAACTCGTCCATGTCCTTGGCGTAGACCACGTTGGATTTTGGCACCCATGGGGGCTCCACCAGCCCGGCCTCCAGACGGTGGAAATTGATGCTCTTGAAAAAGTGGTGGTTTCGTGGGTCCTCACCGCTGGTATCAGAAAGACACAAAAGACAATTAATGATCGGACTTAGATAGAAAATGAGGTTATAAAAGCAGGAGGCGGGTGAAATGATTTAACTGGGCAGTAAAAGTGTTCATGTGGGGCATTAAAAGTTGATATACTGTATAATAGACAATTCTCATATAGTCTACATAATTTAACAGAGTACAAATTTTATTAGCTTCATTACACAACACCTTAAGAGAGTTGCAGTAAAAAGAAGAAAAGAAAAGAAAAGTAAGAGAAAAATGATAGAATGCAGGTCACATCCGAGTCCATCTATCCAGGCATCAAATGCACCCTACTCTCCTTGACTTCACAGACGATCTCGCTCTCCCTTCAACCAACTGCTCAACAACTTTTCCAGACAGGTTGGACTCAATATCAATGCCTCCAAAACAAAAGTGATGTGTGTAAACACCACCCCCACAGCACCCATTCCTGTGAATGGGGAACCACTTGAGTCTGTGGAAGACTTCAACTACCTGGGCAGCCTCATCAGTAAGTACATTCGGACCCAAAAAGACTTCAAAGCAAGGCAGGGAAAGGCTCAGGTTGCCCTCTCCCAAGATGCTCCTGTTCTGCTGTACGGCTGAGAGAGTGGTCACAACAGACATGATAAGGTTGGAAGCCTCGTCCAACCTTCAACTATGCAAGAAAATAGGTAGCCGGAGCATTACCTAGGAAATCACACACAGACCAGGACCAGATCACGAGAGTCGCCTTAAGATGGACACTACCAGGCAGAAGAAAGCCTGGAAGGCCCAAAACCAACTGTGCGCAGAACTGTGACACTGGAGCTGGAAAAGATGAACCTGTCATAGGGAGAGGCGCAACATGCTGCCAAGGATCACATGCAATGGAAAGAGTCAACTGAAGCCATATGTCCAATAGGGGATGAAGAGGAGTACGTAAGTAAGTTACATCCAAGTTACACCCACAAAGGTATTTTCACTTCATTATCCTGATTAGACTCTAGCTCTCCTGTTAGTTTAATTAGTTTATTTGATGCACCTATCAGGATGGGACAAGTCACGCTGATATTGTCCTTGATAGTATACTCACAAAAACCCCAACATCAGACTTCAACCTGAGTGGAAGTTTCATCAGTCACGATGAATAAAAGTGCACCTGAAGTAGATAATACATAATAATAAATAGGTGAGCCTTAAAAGGGGTGAAAAAGAAAGTCAGACTTCTCCATTAGATGGACGCTCTAACAGCAAGAACACCACCCCTTTGTTTTGCAGTGTCGTCCCTATGATGATGAGCTCAGCTTTTTTGGAACCTTGGTGTCATCAAGAGAACAAGCACATTTCCACCAGTTTTGAGCAGAACCATTGTAATCAAGGATGTGCCATCAACAGAGGGCGTTGCACAATGCGCAGCAGAAATAATCTGTAGTAGTAAGATGGTGGATCACATTGATTACCTGCAAGCTTTTGTTCTGTTATTACAGATACTTATTTTAATCCAAAAAACAAGTATGGACCAACTGTTAATGATAAGAGGATGCAGAAGACTATGACTGTGAGGGTTTCGGCTTTGTCTCTCCCTTGTGTTTCCTGTTTTCTGTCCCTAGTGTCTCATGTCTGCTTTCAGTCTGTGGCTGAATCCAAAAGTTCACCCTCTGGTCTTGTAGACTGAGCCCTCGCAGACTTCAGTTGTACGTAGTGTGACGTATTTACTGTCATCATGTTAAGTCTGCGAGGGCGGAGACTGCAAGCTGCTGATAGACAGCCCTTGAGACTGTTTTACTCATTGCCGTGGGAACGTTCAACTATCGCTGCCCTCATATTCATAGATATGTCATTTAAGCTGATGAACAGTGCTGAACTAATCTGTTCCTGAAGATAACAAGCTATAAATCATATGTATAACCTTTTTTGTGACTGAACAAAAATGTAGGCTATTAATACATTTCAGGCTACACATGCTCAAAAACAGAATTAAGTGTGTAAATAAGGACAGGAGGACTACTCAATGAATTGGGCATAAGTTACATTAAAAACCCTTCTTTTATGTTTTTCAGCCATTTCTTAGTCTATTGTGCTGCACAGCCTGTTAGGCTGCAATAATAAAAATGCATTTTCAGTCTGTACTTATACATATTTCTGTATCATGATGTGGTTGAATATTATTTCTGCATAAAGAAGAAGAAAATCCGCACACTGAATTAGAGCTCCCACTTTAGTTTTTAATGACTAAAAAAGCAACGTTTTGACTCAAATGGTCTTCATCAGGCAACTTCAAAAGGAGCTTTTGACTGGGAGATCTAATTCAGTGTGCGGATTTTCTTCTTCTTTCTGCATGGACCCCTATTATCCAGCACCTGACCTAAAACAGGATTGGATGTGCGCACAACTACTCTGTCTTCTGTGAATATTATTTCTGGCCTACACAATTCAATTAGCATTTTAATAGGCCTAACTATCAATAACTATTGTATACATTCATAAGATGAATTGTGGGTTATGAAATCAGTGAAGTCTGCACCCCAAGCAGACTCTCTGGAAGTCTGCAGGAAGTCCACTTGAGGCCCCTTGAGGGCTGGATAAATTGTGGGTTTGGACAGCCCTAAGCACTCCCGGACTTCCCGTAAACGTGCCCGCAAAGCCTGCCAGTCTGCAAGTACGGTGAAGTCCGGACATTTGGATTCAGCCTGTCTCTGTGTTTGTTGGGCATGGCCTCCTGGTTTCCTCCTCCTGCCAATCCTCCTGAGTGCCAGCAGCTGCTGAACCTGCACACCTGAACCACATCAACAATCAGTCCACTGCAGTGTGAAACCCCAGCTCAAACATCCAGACTCTGCCAGAGTTCAGTCAGGACAGACATCAAGGCCAGCTTCTAAGTGTTTTGACACTTCTCTTTTTGTACTTTTTGGACATCAAATCACACTTAATGTGTCTCAGGTTCACCGCGCCTGCTTCAACCATCACCTGCCACGTCCAGCCTCGTTCTTGTCTTCTGCCTCTGGATTTGGACTGCTCTGTCTTCAGCTCCTCTGCCTGCTCTGCTTTGCTATTACCAGCCCACCTCAGCCATCATTTCATTCAAGCCATCAGCCCCACATCTTAAAAGTACAATAAACTGCCTCAAACCACTCAGTTTCCTGGTTGTGTTTGCATTTGGTTCCAAAGTTGAACTGTCACAACAATGACATGCAAGACTCAGTCCTCTCTTTCCAACCTGTAGAATATGACATGTGACATCATTTGCCCTTCAGGTCAAGGGAAACCTCTTTTTAGCTCCAGCTGGGGGCCAACCTTTTGGGTTACGAACCAATTTTGTTGGTCAAAATGCTCTGAATGGTACAAATTTAAGTGCAGGAACTGAAATGGAACCCGTCCATGTTGTTGGTAAACAGGTATAAGGAAGTTAATTCTGTATTTTAAAATCCAGAAATGGTCCAAAATTGTTGCTTGCATTTATTTTAGTCTGCTGTAGTTGCTGGTGCTGGTGGGAATGTAGTGCTTCATAATAAGATGTTTTGTCATCTATCCTGTTCACTTAATCATCTCGTGACGTCTTCAAGGTGTCCTGACCTCCAGGTCTGGACTTGAACTCAGTGTGGTACTCACGGGTCTGTTTCTATAAGGACTGTATCATACAAACAGTATGTTTTCACAGGTGCGAAGGACGTTCCACATTTTCTTGATGGGTAATTTGTTCCATGACGTCAACACCATTGACCTCAAGTTGCAATCTTACGCTTGAGAAAAATAGTTTAAAAATAGTTTTTGCTTACCGGCACCCGAAGCGATGGGCCACCTTTTTCTTGAGAAAGCGGCAGATGAGTTCTTTGGTGGGAGGATCAAAGTTTTTGTGTTCAAACTTGCACTCGTCCTCCAGAGTGCGACGAGTCACCTCCTCATTCTGCACCTTTTCTCTGAAGTCTTTAAAAGGCAAACGGGCGGCCACCATCTCATAGAAGCTGCAGCCCAGAGCCCACCAGTCCACAGACGTGCGGTAGTACTCCTGCTTCAGAATCTCAGGGGCCATGTAACCAGTCGTACCAGCCTGACAACACACACAGGGGAGAGACAAAGTAGCATGAGGGACAATTCAAAGAGATGTAAGCCCTCTCTGTACCTCTGAGGTTTTACTTCAGTTTTAGAGTCTGTTTAGTTATTGAGGTTGGGTTAGATCCTGGGGACCAGGGATGGTAATTATGAGGGAGGGGAGGGGGTTATTTACTTTTGCTGACAGTAGTTGGAGTGTTTTTTGTTTTTTTTTTCTTCAAATAAAAAAATAATAATAGGTTAAATGTTAAGGTTTGGGTAAGGTTTATTTTTATACTGCTGTGTTGTTCTGAGATATTGGGGGATAGTATTAGTATTGGGGGATAGTATTAGTATATAGTTGCCCGATCAATTGCGCCCAACCGGCTGTCAGACTTTGGATGAATTTTTGACATGCCTTGGTGGTTGTCATCAGCGGCTCGCACAGTAGAATTACAACTTCTGTCCCACTGACTTTCTTGGGAAAAGAAATGAGATTTTTAAAATGTCGTGATAAGATAAAACATAAAAGTTTTTAAATTAGTCATTTACAACAGTAATAGAGTGCTAAGTGCCACAAAAGTTTCATTTAGCCTACGTGTTTGTCTTTTTAAGTATAATCCAGAAATATATTCTCCCCAAAAATCACGTGACTCTAAAAATAGAGCTGTGTTGTTGTTCAGAATTGTACAACAACATTAGAGAGTGCAAAGTCCAAAATGATCACAGGGATCTGAAACCCCCTCAGTCCGCTGAGGGTTAATGATGCACACCTGGGGATACTCGTTAGCCTGTTCCAATGTGTGTTCACCAAATGCTAGGAAGGACTCTTGCCTTGCCTCTCTAGGATCCTTCCTTGGAAGGACTCGCCCTACCAAGGAAGGATCCTTGAGTTTGAGAAACACCAACTGGCTCTAGACAGGGCCATTCATGTTGGCCACCCTAGCCCTCTGACACACTTCACACACACAGGAGAAGTTTAATTTTGTTGCAATGTTGCAACTTCAATGTTTAATGCCACTAAATCCTTCACACTAGACCTTTAAGCTACCTTTTGCCCAACACATCAGGTGGTAACTTTCTAGGAATTTAGGCCTGCATAGGATTTTTCTTTTTTTAGGACAAAAGTATTTGAGACCAGACAGAATAATCTTGTCTGGTAAATGATTCACCTTTTTAAAGTTCATTTTCTTTATCTACAACAGACTATCTTGAGCAGCATCTACATAATGGAAAATTAAATAGGGAAACATGGAGACAAAAATACAGACAAACAATGAGACACTGTTACAGCAAGTAATGCTGCATTAATTGACCTCCATCAGGTCGGTCAGCTGACAAATAAGACATGATTGTTCACCCTGTGTCACGTCTATAGTGAGTGGAGGCCTGCTGTGAGTCTCCTGACTCATCTCCTTGGACAGACACGTGGAGGCCATATCTGGTATTAGTACAGCATAGATTAACCAGCCAATGCTAACAGGCTGTGCTCAGCCTGCCGTACATTTCTCGACCTGTGTAGCATCCAACTCTGGATGAGGTCAGGCCCTTTTTAATGAGATTAATTTAAGTCACACAGTGTTATGCTCTCTTATGCTGTCTGTCAGAGCAGGACTTAGAGCTACCATACCTATTCCTGGTAAGCTGCTTGTAGTGGTGGGATAGTGTGCAGATATACAGGGTGGTGGTATTAAAACAGAGCACATAACAGTATGCCCAGGAGAACATAGAGATTTCGTAGGGTAGCATAAACCACAGAGAGGCTTTGCAGAGTGCATTTCAGTGCAAACGTCTGACAGCAAACACTGTAGGTTAATCCAGGGTTAGATCACCACACTAACCTTCTGGCAGATCGATTTGCCCTTCGGCAGCTCCACAGCCAATCCAAGGTCTGACAGCCGACACTGTCCTTTGGCATCTAGCAGCACATTCTCAGGCTTCATGTCCCGGTACACAATGTCCATGGAGTGCAGGTGGAGCAGCCCAGTGGTTATCTGGGCCATGTAGTATACAACACGGTCCATACGGATTCCCCTTACCCCGAGCTCGTAGATGTGGAACCTGAGGTCTCCTCCATTCATGAGGTCCATGACCAGGCACAGGTGGTTCTTGTTGTCGTAAGCGTAAGCCAGGTTCACAATGAAGAGGCTGTTGACCTTCTCCAGGATCTCCTTCTCCAGAAGGGCCAGCCTCTCGCTACCTTTCTTCTTCAAGCGCCTCTTGTCCAGCTTCTTGCAGGCGTACATTTGGCCTGTGTGTTTCACCTGCACTGCACACACCTGCAAGACAGAGGAATGTTATTGTGCCATCCTTAAATATGTTTCAGAGCAAGAAAATGTACATTTTACTGACCAGTGACCACCGTGGCTACATGCAGTAGTTGATGATAAATGCTAAAACATAATGTGACAGTGGAGCAGGCAGAGAAAATGCTTAATTCAGTCCACTAATGTCTATTACATAGCAAGCTGCAGAGTACTCACATTAGCACCCATAAGCTACTGGTCATTCCAGGTCAAGTGAGGCAGCAAAACCCTGAGTATATTGAATTGATTAACAGTGCATTTAATCGCTCATGAATTCAGCTTTTCATTTGCAAGAGAAGGAATGCTATGTCTTCTCTCAAAATTATTTCACTTTTACTTTCAATTCATCACTTCAACTCAGATATAGTAGTTCAGATGTTTGGATTTCTGCACCTACCTCACCAAAACCACCTCTTCCCAAAGTCCTAAACTCATAAAAGTATTTGTCATTGATCCTCTGCTTCTCGTACTCCTTCCACTGCATGAACCGATAAAAAAAGGGGCTATTCAGATACTCCGAGAAAGGTTTTCCCTGCAGGAAGTCTCTTGTGGCTTCTCTTATCTGGCCCAACATCGCCTTGTCGAAGTTCTTGTCTGATAAATCCTTGCATATTTCAGCTTCCTCTCCTGTCAGGTAGGAGAGAAAACTCTTGGACTCAGGTTGACAGAACTTAGTGAGCAGGCTGTGTTTGGCCTTCTCCCTGGCCTCATCCTCAGCAAAGCTCCAGTCACTCAGCTCCTCCAGAAACTCAGTGGCGGCCTTGTACTGAGGGTTGGAGGCCAGGAGGAACTGCCGGAACAGCTTCCTCCCAATAGGCTGTCGCTCACACAGTGACTCGTACTTCCTCCCCACTGCTGCCAGGAGGGCAGAGGACATCTTTGGTCTGGGCAGCGTCAGGGAGAGCCTCTGTTTTCTCAGCTTATCGCGATCTATGTGCTGAGCCCTCAGGTAGGCCGTGTTAGCCACCAGGTTGTCCAGTCCCAGCAGGTCACCCATGTTGGATGTGTCCTGTGACAAGGGCAGCTGGGCCTGATCAACTACGGCGCCACAGCTCACTCATTTGCAGGTTCCAGGCACAACTGAGCACCTGCATCCTGAACATCCTGCACCTCTTGCGCCACGCCTCCTGTAGCATTAAAAGTACCGATGTCCTCTGGGATTTGCCATCAGCTAAGTGTCTTTACACGCTTACATGTAGACGGCACCAAGGGAAAGCAACTTATGTGGTCTGAACTTAAGAGGCTTTGGGCTCAACTATTTTTAGGAGATGCAAAGTGCCTGTGTGCAGTAATTTGGCTGCCAGCATGACACAATGAGGTGACAGATCCTGACCTTTACAAGTTTTGGCTGATTACAGCTTGTTATGAGACAAAGAAGCCGCTGAGAGAGCTGCGTGTGAATAATATGTTCAGTACGCAATAAAGCATGCACGTCATTGCTTATTGTGAGAGGAAGAGTGACAGCCTCGCTAAATTAGCCCTAATTGGTTAAGTAAGCAGCCTAAGATATTCATTTTTGAATTAGCTGTCAGGAGAGTGAAGGCCCTGCACTCATACTTGAGGATTTCAGCGATTCAGCATAACAAATCTTATATTGTAGCTGGAGCAATTTCAAAAACTACATCTTCATTTTCATTTACTTAAAACCACATTGCTGGTATTTAACATCTCTTAAAAATGTACTAATGATCACGATTTTTTTGTGAGACACGTACAGAGACAGTGGACTTTCTTATTTCTTATTTATTCATTTATTTTTGGGGGGCATTTCTGCCTTCATTAGATGGGGAGAGAGATGCAGCAAAGGGCCAGAGATGGAATCGAGCCAGCGGCTGTTGCAGCAAGGACATAGCCTTCGCACATGGGGCACCGGCTCTTCTATGTCAGTTGGAGGGCGCCCCAACAGTGGACTTTCTGTTGCCACACCTCCACCTATAGAGGATATGGACATAATAACATGAACAACTGCACCAATAACAATGCAGTTGATTGAAATAGACCTGCTTTACATGTTTGCTTACAGTCCAGATTATTTTGGATTGGAGAGACATCTGTTTTCTCTCTAATATAATGGAACTAGATGGCACTCAGCTTGCGTTGGATTAAGTGCCAACAAAATATGTTTAAAAAACTCTGCAGCAATGTCTCTTTACTGAAATCATGACCCAGATACTCAAGATAATCCACAGACCTTGTTGTGAGCAGTTTCATGTAGGAACTATTGTCTTTTTCCAAACTCCACCCACCAACCGTATGACTGCGCAGAAGGAAGAGTGCATCTACTCATGGACGAGAGCTGAGCTAGCAGTAGATGCTTTCTCCTGAGCAGTGAAAGCTGCAGCCTTAATACCTGTGAAATCACATCCAGCATCCTATTAACTGTGCTTCAAGGCACTGAGATAGGGAGTGCTTCTTGTTTACTTCCCCCACATGGTCAAGAGGTTTGCAGCAGCGTCCTTGCAGTCATTAGCCTAATGTGTAAGTGAATTATCCTGATCAGTCTTACCCACTTACAGCATTCCTTGACAAGGAAACTGTGATCAGTGTTATTTTTCAGAGAGAACACTGAGCTGTCCTACATGAATGTGAAAGCAATACTGTAACTGAAGATAATATATGTGAAGATCTGTGGGCAAACTGTCAGAAAGGAATTATGGAAAGAGTTTGATTGGAAAATAAAAAATCTGATATTTTAATACTCCCCTCATTCCCTCATTATGTCATCATATATGAAAGAAACCTCAGTGGCATTGTGTCGGAAAAATAAGGGATCACACACATATTTTTTGGGCGGCCCAATAATTCAGGGGTTTTGGGGAAGCATTAAGAAAGAAACTGACAAAATCATGGAGGTAGATGTCCCACTACCCGTTAATATTTCTGTTAGGAGTTATCCCTAAAGATAGACATGGCACTGATCAGAGGTTTTTACTGAGGATACCTACTGATTGCCTAGAAAAAAATGATAATGATGAACTGCAAAGATGCAAAACCACCAACTATAACCCAGTGGATGCAGAGACTCAGAACAGTTTACATGATGAAACGAATGACAGCAAGTCTGCAACTGAAAGATTGTACTATAATGGAATATCACTCAATATGTCATTGTTATGTTCCTCTGTAACTGAACCTGCTCTGGTGTTAATGCAGCCCCCCTTTGTAATTCTTAGTTTTGTGCTATATATTATATCATACATATTATACATATATTCTCATTATTATATACTTAAGTATATTATTTAGCTTTTATTGTTCTGTGTTACTTTGTTGTTGTTTTTTTAAATATAATTTTAAGAGGTCCTGTGTCAGGGAATGTTCAGTTAACTGTAAAAATTGAACACTAACTAAAAAGTAAAAAAAAAAATCCATGAAACATTCACCCATATGTAATTATTCCACACTTCAAGTTTGGTAAAATCTAAATTTTGTCTTAATAACTGCTTTACAGAGGTGGAAGAAGTACTCAGATCTTTTAAGTAACAATAGCACAATTTAAAAAATCTGTTACAGGTAAATCTTACACAAACAGTTATTAGCAGCATATTGTACACTCCACTGCTGTTGATTTGAATAGGTGACGTGTGAAACTGGATGAAGGCCAGCCTCACCCTACAGGTATAACAACTGCTCGTGGTTAGCATGGCCACCCTCCAGGTAGTTCACTTTGACTGCCAAAGGACTTACGGCATTAAGGTGACTTAAGGAGGTAAGTTTACCTGGACATGGATGTTTGTTGGTTGCTAAATCATTGTGACCTCCACAGATGATGATCAAAATGTGCAGATTTAAAGGAATGAGAGGAGTTTTTATACATAAAGGACATGAACATGTTTTCCCACAAAACCACTTCTTTGTTGCACAAGAAGCCAACCCACCGTAATAATAAATGGTGTCTAATCACAAGCAGCAGTTCAAGAATCAGTCTGAAATGTAAGAATTATCATTTTAATTATAAATTGGTTAAAGAATAAATGAAAGTTAATATAAAGCTTGGCAAGATTTAATGCTAGATTTGAAACTCAACAGTTTTTGATTCTTGTTGATGACATTCTTGTCAGTAGCAAAAAGCTAAACCAATGTGCACTTTCTTTAATTTTAACTAAAACATCTGTTGCATAACAACACACCAATGTCCGTAATTTTACTGTACTAAACCCGTTCAAGTTACTGGATGAAAGAATACATGTTTACAGCTATGCACAGTTCTTTATTTTTTAAAAAGACAGTCACATATTCAAGATGTGCTGAACACCACCACCACAGACAATAAAGTAAAGCTAAGATGTGACCAAACACTGCAACGAGGTTCATCCTCTCTTCATGATCCCTCCAGCCACATCATCCGATCAGTGACCAACAAGCCTGTGCCACTTTAATTTTGTCCATGGTCCTCCTTCGGCACCAGGACTACTGGAACATGCATTCATAAGTAGGAGGACAGACGGTTGTTGGTGTCAGTGGCTCTGACGCTGCAGTGATCATTGTCAAGTCTGTCACCACTTTCGGGTGCACACAGGTGTCGTCTGAGAGTCAGACCGCCTGGAGTCGGAGCTTATTTGCCGATTCTTTGAACCACCCAGTCCTGCTGGCAGAGGGGACAGCGGTTGTTCTGCTTCACCCAAAGGGACATGCAGCAGTTATGGAAGGAGTGGTTGCACTCTCCCCATACAACTGAAAGAAGATGAAGACAGAGGACACAGGGAGAGACAATGAATTAGTATTAACAGCTTATGTTATACAGAATATTTAAGTATGACCTTATGTACTTCAATGGTTAATAAAACTAATTTACTCTGAGTTTATCTGTGATTTTTATTTCCATTTTAAGATCTACTATTTTGTTCTCTTCCTTAAGGCACAGTCCTTGTTATCTATGTCATCCTTCTGTACAGTCCAACAAGGCAACATGACTCTTGTTTTGTTCTGCAGTTTGCTGTTATCAAACATAGCTGGCTCAACACACCTGTTAGCAGGTAATTTGATTAACATTATGTTTTAATCACAGGTGTGCACTTGTGGGACTTAACTCAGACTGTAGTCACAAATTTTATGAATTTAGACTTGTCAAAATCAAAAAAGACTCAAGCCGTTTGACTTGAAAATACTTGATACTGTCCATAAAGCTAATTTGGGAAGAGAAAGATATATAGAAATTTGAAGAGAAAAGTATAGATATTTCTCCAATATGAGATGAGATAAATACAGCAACACTGGACAACACATACAGAGTATATTCTATTTTAGCAGCATTAAATTGTGCTACATAAACAGTGCAATGTCAATTTTCTTTTTTTCCTGATTAATTCAGTTGCACTTGTTTTAGGCTGCACAGTGGTGCAGTTGTTAGCATTGTCGCCTCACAGCAAGAGGGTTCCCAATTCTAATCCAATGTGGGGGTTTCAAACCCTTAAGTGGAGGAGCCCCTCTGTGTGGAGTCTGTGTCAGCGTGGGTTTTCTCCAGGTCCTCCAGCTTCCTCCCACAGTCCAAAGACATGCGGGTTAAGTTAACTGGTGACTCTAAATTGCCTGTAGGGGTGAATGTGAGTGTGAATGGTTGTTTGTCTCTATGTGTCAGCCCTGCGATAGTCTGGTGACCTGTCCAGGGTGTACCCTGCCTCTTCCCTATTGACAGCTGGGATAAACTCCAGCCCCCAATAGAAAAAGCAGGTATGAAAAATGACTGAATGAATGCACTGGTTTTAACAAATGAGTACAAATCTGAAAAAGAATTTGTTTTTTTGTAAATTTAATATTACATTATTCTGTAGGTAAAATGCGATTAAATTTGGTTAATAGTGCACTATGACTTGTTTGGGATTCAGAACTCAAAGTGTTTAGGACTTGCGCCTTGACTAGGGACTTGTGAGTCTTGACTTGGGACCTGCCTGTCCTGATTTAGGACTTGACTTGAGACATGCATGTCTTGATTTGAGGCTTGACTTAAGGCATGCATGTCTTGATTTGGGACTTGAATGCAAAGACTTGAGACGTGCAAAACAGTGACTTGGTCGCACCTCTGGCTATAATGTTTAATTCAAACAATGCAATGACGCTCTCTATCTATGCAAGCTAATGTCAACCATTTGTTTTGCATGAAACGACTAAGCAGAAATACACACCCCGCCCTGTGTGATCAGCTTGGTCAGTGTCTTTGACAGCTCCTAACAAGCTAGCTTATGTTAGCTTGTTGGATTAACACAATATGTTAACTAACCAAATGTTAAGTGTTTAGCGTATTTCATAGCCGGCAATATCTTACCAACACAGTCCTCCTGTTTGTTTTCCGCCTGGCATCGGAGACAAGCATCTGCGAATCAAGAAAAACATTTTACAGCTGCACCGTGCCTATGACTTCAGGTATTACTGGTAGCATTAGCCATTCTAGCTACATTAGCCGGTGTCCCAGCTATGCTAGCGGTCTAACAGTGTCTGTTCCTCGGACTCACCCATCACTTGTACCCGGCAAATGGCACAAGTATCGCACTCAACATCCCAGCTCCACATCGCTACAGCGTTCCACTTCTTTAAGGAAAACATCTTGTCCCCACCCGACTTAGAGCCTGAAGAAGTGTTGTGAGAGAGGACGATCCCCGGCTCGTCGCCGTCATCCATCTCTGCTGCACGGTGTCTGAGCTTAGCCAGGGCTAGCTAAGCTAAACAAAATGGACGAAGCGGTTATGAGCAATGCTAATGCTAGAGGGGTTAGCAAACGGCTTGTCTCCATAGCGACGGAAGATGGCGCTGTTATCCAGGATTTAAAGTCTGACTCTTAAAATAACTTGTCACAATATAAACAGCACTTACATCGTGTGATAAAATACCATCATATGAAGACAGAACAGATAAAAAATAACAATAATGAGAATAACTTAATAACAAAAGGGGCAATTTTTCCATCACAGTGGACAATAAATACTATTATAAACATCTGTTTCATGTGTATCACTGTGTGTGAAGAAAAAAAGTAAAATGATTTTTTAGAAAAAAATTCAATGATATAGAAGGTGAAACAACACCGTCCTGTTAAAATATAACTTTATTATATACATATAGAAGTGCCATTGACAAGTGTTCACTGCTAGCTTGTCATCATGCCTTTGAATTTGGCATTAAATATTTCATATTTGAAAATTAAGACTTTGTTTATTTAAAATCAAACAAAACCCCAAATGACCAATATCTGAGATGTTAAAATAAATCCACATTTATTTAGAAATGAGTCATTGATAGAAAGCACCACATAAGCTGTATATTATCATTGTTATTATTATTGATGCATAGGAAATCCCTCTGGGGAGTCTGATTGTCAGAGTTTAAGAAAAAAAATCACCCAGTGAATAAGACATGTACTTTATTTTAAAGTACTGAAACAGGAATGACCATAGTACATTTTTCTGCAAACATATCATGAAAAACAGACGGACAGAGCTGTCCACTTGTGATCAGATTAGCAAAGACGCCTGTTAGTGCCAGGTCTGAACAGGCTCAAAGTTAAAAGTCATCAAGCACTGGTTAAAACATGGTGAAATGTTTGCTTTGATTAACCATTCCTGATGTTTTCTTCCAGTCATTTGGCGTTGCTGTCAGTTAGCAAGTTTGATTCTGGCACTGTCCAGCTGCTGTCTGCACCTTGGTCCTGGATGTTGTGGGACCTCAGGTTGATGACTGGACCTGGGGCTACATTTTCATGGAGAGTAGGCCTACCAGTGACCCCATCAACACTTCTGTCACAATACAAGTCAAAAGCCTCCACAGCCAAAAACTGTGTTATTCATTTACATCCTCTTCTCAGAGAGAAGATTTGAAGATTTGCATGCTGTAACCGGAAGAGCTAACATAAAATATAGGTATATGTCAATATTGCTTCTTGAAACCTTTTTACCAGATTCCATTGTTGCTGAATAGTGTCATCAGTTGTCAGGGTTAAGTTTGATCCCTCAGGTTCTAAAATAAGTTCAGAGGACAACACCAGCGGGAACTGTTTGAATGTCTCTGCCCAAAGCAGATCTGTTGACTAAAGTATGCCTGTTTCTCTTTTTAAGGAAGGGGATTGAATATCCACACAATCCCAGGGAAGGATGCCCATGCCAGTCTTTGATATTTACTCCACCACTGTCTTGGACATGTATTAGGAGTTGTAGAGGAGAGGTCTGACAACTCTGAAAACCTGCTGCAGCTGGTTGCAGAAGAGGTGGCCAAGAAGGTCAACCGCACATTGGCTGTTATCACGCAGTCAAACTCTTCCCAGCAATCAGAATATGAAATACAAGAATCTCCAACTAAAGATATGGTTTACCATGTCGCCACAATATTGGAGAGATGCCTGGTCCAGAAGTTCCACCTTAACTCCCAAGATGAAGTATTCCAGGTCAACGTTTCACCTTGGGCATCCAGTCCAGCTGACGAGAGCATGGTTGAAGAATTCAGCACAGATGGTACCAAAGGCTCTCTATCAGAGAGGCAGAGTTCAGACCTCTCCAGTTTTGTTACCCCGGTGTCTCCCACTAGTACCAAAGAGATGTTCTCGCAGGGAGAGAAGATCTTTCTCGCTGTGTTTCTTGGTAAGTTGCTTGACCACATTGCACACCCCACCAAGACCAAGTTTCACTCTCCCACAGACTGTTGGAAACCTCCACCATACCATCTTCGTCGAGTTTAAATGTGCAGAGTTGCTGCGGGCTGTCATCGTGTCTGAAGATATGGCATTCAAGGAGGTGATTGCTAGGGAATTGGGCAGCTGCAGAAGGCTACACAAAACCCCTCCGGCTTTGTTACAAAGGTTTTTCAGAGGAAAAAGCAACAAAGTTGTTCCAGCCAGTGAGGTTGAAACATGTGTGTGTACCACAGTGAAGTGATCCATCTGGAGAATGAATCAATCCGTCAGAACAAACAGAAGCGCCCTGCCATCATCAGGATGTTCTCTGCTGTGGCTAGGATTCTGACGAAGCCCTTCACCAGCAGTGGATCCAACATCCAACATTCAGTCTTTCCCCAAGATCATTTCTGTACTGCCTTCATCTTGAAAAACGATCACTGGTTTTCTCTCAAAAATGACATAAGTTGTTTGTTTTTCAAGATGAACGCACACTTTTAAAAAGGATAAGTTAAGTTAGTTAGTAAAGTAAGTCTCAGCGTCAGAGCACTTTCTCTAGAAAGGTTTGATATTCAAAATTAATGAGTGGAGTATTGACTAATGTGTTTTATGTGGTGGAACAAAACATGAAAGTTAAGCTTGTGTTAACCATAGACCTTATTTCAGACATCCAACCAAAACCCATTTTAACAAAAAACCCTTCTGCTCCTTCGAGATGAGGCACCTGACAGCGCTAAAATGCTAACTAATTTCTGGGTTTTAGTTTAAAAGCAAGTCTTAACCTTTAAAAGTAACCTATGCAGGATTGTGGAGAAGCCCCTCACTCCAGTTAGCAATTTGGGGCTGTGCTCAATGTGGGTGGAGTCAAACGTTGAGCGCCATCCTGTGTTAGCAATTCTGACTGTGTTAGCTGCTAGTTAGCTGGCTGCTACCTCCATCATGGGTGTATAAACAGACCGGTTAAGCTGAACTTCATCTCCACCTCACTCCTGGCCTATGGGACCACTTTTGCCATGAGGAAAGTGGCTTGTACCATCTGAGAGGTATCACCTCAACTTCAGCCAGAGCTAACCAGTTAACCCAGCCCCAGGGGTGACAGCCGCTAACTGAGGGTCCATCTCCAAAGTTGCTGTCTGCTCTGCTCCCAGCTAAGTAGACCTCATATGTGGGAGTGAGGTGGCGGGACTATGGGGTGCAGTACAGTCCGTCTCCATGGAATATGGCAATATAGAGCACTGAATTGGATGAATTTTGCATTATCATGCACTTTTCTCGACGAGTCCTTCCCCACAAAATCCCAGAGAAAACATCCAGAGGTATGTGGACACTTGACAAAAGGTGACAGAGGGCCGTGGGAATGAACCCCGTGACCTCCCTCTGGTTCTGTGGCAAAGTCGCAGAGCACAGCCAGGGCCTGCAGAGCATGTTGGAGAACCTGAGGGAATGCAGGATCTCACACACTTGGATGAGGAGCCTCCAACGTGCTCTGCAGGCCTTGGCTCTCCTCTCACCCCCCATGGCTGCCTCTTCAGCCCTGGTAAAACCTCCAGCTTGACTCTCGGCCACCTGGCTCTAACCCACAGCCTATGAACAGCCTGCAGCGGACCCTCGCTGTGCTCTGCTGTTCCGCCAGAAAACCAAGAGGTCAATTTGCAATTGCATCCTTATTTCTTTATAAGCAGCCAATGAGCTATAACAGATTATGATTATATCACAAATATACTGGTGTAATATGTTCTTGAGGTTGCAGGGTTCATTATTTCATACTTCATGAAGTACTGGCATCCATTTTCAGGCGGTCCCGTTGTCAGTCGTGCTTAGTAGTCAAACATTTGACTCCACCTATATTGAGTGGTAATTGTCATTGTCGCCAGTGAAAGTAGAAGTTAAAGCCAACCTCAAATTCACTCTTGTTTGGCATTTCACCTCGCTATATTTGTGTTTTTTGTTGCTGTGTCTCTTGAAACACAGTCTCACCTGAGGGCTGTGATGTTACACGCGTATAAACGTCCCAAAAAATCTAAATAGAATAAGAAAATACAGGCAGAGGGCAGAGTCTGCAGATAAATACACACTGAGAGTGGGTCATAAGTGATGACTGAGAGGGACTTTTCTGTATGAATATATATATTAGGACTGTACCCAAACCAAAACCAAAATGTACCCAAAAGTACACTGTACATTGACTTACATAAATAAATAAGTAAACAACAACAACAGCTTGGGGACAGTTCTGTAAGTGTGTGTTCTCGATGTATGTTTTATGGTTGTAGACAAACCTGACAAGGCTGAAAGATGCATGTCGTGCCAAAGAGCAGATCATTTGTACCAAACAGAGACACTACATTTGAAAGATGATTATATTTGACAGATTGAGACATCGATCGAAACCCACACAGAAATGAAGCGAAAACATTCAGGTATAACTTAATAGATTGTAATTCACCTTCTCCTTCAATGACGCTTTTCAAATAAGCAGAAAAACTTTCAAATAAAACTTAATTATTTGGGGCCTGGAGTGTCATTTCCTCTCCTTTAAATCACTGGACACAGAATTTACTGATTCAAACATCTGGAGCCAGAGAAAAGCAGGGACGACTCCTCTTCTCAGTGCGTCAACATATCAAAAACAGTGATTAATTGCATCATAACTTTTCCCAGTAGAGATTCTTGTAACTATACCCACATGCTGTAACTGGATTTGACAGATTACCTTGAGGACTGGGCTGTCAGAGGAAAGGATAAAATATCACTAATATGTATGAATTGTTATCCCTCTCTCCTGAGGCTACGTGATGATTAATGATCGCTGAAATGTTTTAGAAAATGAGTCATTTACAAGCCTGAAAAACATTAATATTATCAAATCAAATCATGTTAGCTGCGTGGTACATGGCCTTTATTTATACAGACAAGGCTCGATTAACTTAGGGGCAATACAGGCAGCAGCCCAAACCACGGATATGTTACATTACAGGAGGGACAGGTGGATGTCTGACAATTGTTCGAGATAAACAAACAACAGAAGCAGGTAACAACACATTAGGACATCTCCGGCTGTGTTTGTGACACCT